TCTTTAGGCTCTTCATTTCTTTTTTTTGTTCAGTGAAAGCATAAGTGAATCCAGTGTTAGTTTCAGTCATATATCTGAGTTCTTAATCAAGTGTGATTATCCTTGACTGAATTTCAAGAATAATATTTTGAAAATTGACAAGGCTCTGATCAAAATGTTAACTGACTTGGTTCAACTTATGTTCAATTCTGTGCAGGTATGAATTCTGCTGGAGAAAATTTTTAGTCTGCCAGTTTAAAATTACTTCAGCATGAGAAACACTTTTTTGGTTTTCATATTCATCTCTATCAGTGGGAGTGGGGATTTTTGGAATGTGTTTGTATTGGTCTTTATGAAATTCTTGAAAATGAGAGAAATCTAAGCTTGAGTAGGTTGGTTGCATCATGGAGATTTATGGTAAAGGTTTGGGTAAAGGTTGGGTGAAATTTTAGGTAGAATCTGGTTTTTGAGTGGGTTGATTTGAGTAGGTTTGAGAGTGTGGTTTTTCTTTCTTAGGATAGATGACATAATAGTAAAATTTTCCTGAGGGTTCACTAAGGAAATCAATTTCAGGGTCTCTATTTTCATATCTTTCTTTGAGCTTTTGCTGGGAAAACTTTTTCTTCTTTTGCTTCTTTGAAATATCATCATTATCATCATTCAGGAAGCTTTGATATGCGTCTATCTGGCATTCTTTGAATTGACAATTTATGTCCCAATAACAATGTCCTTCTGGAGATCTATATGCATACATAAGATTTTCATCGGACTGAAAGTGTGTGATTGGAACATCAAGGAGATCGGCATGACGTCTTTGCATCATAAACTATGTTGGAAAGATTGTTGGAGGAGGAACATCCTTTCCTTTGCTGTGATCAAATTCAATTGTGACAGTACCATCCTGATTTATCTTGTAGGTTGGATCAAAATGTTTAATTGGTTCATCTTGTTTCCAAATCTTTTGATAACTTGTCATCCATGTCTTTGGGAGAAGGGTGGCAAGTTCTTTATTGGAAATCTGCTTTGGAATATGAACATGTTTAGAAGTTTTGTCTGTTATTTCTATTTTAACAAAAACTGCATCACTGGAGTGTGAAAGAGGCAAGTTAATGGCATGATCTTGAACTCTATATGCCATCTGGTAGTGAAGGGTTGCCTGGAGGCCTTTCATTTCTGTGCCTACGATCTGGACTTGAACTTTTAAAGCATCTAACAGGGTTGGATCATGAAGAGACATTATAATTTGGGAAGACTGTGAAGAAGATAGTTCTTACATTGAGTGTCGTCTCAACAATTCCAAGGACTGCATGCTTGTAATCTTTAAATCTGGTGTCCAATAAGGCCATTCTAGTACAAACAGGAATTCCATTTCTGTCATGGAAGGTTAAGGCGATTCTGATAGCACCAAAGTGAATGTAAGTGTATCCTTATTCTAACCACTGGTGAGAAAATTCTTCTGGGATCTGAAGAGTAACAAAGTGCTCTTGAGGTCCTGCGGGAAGAATACATTGATAAAAATTTGTGGCTTGAACATACGCTTTAGGAGCTGGATATTTTTGTTTTAAAAGAGTTTTTAAAGATTTAGTAAGAGAAGGGGAGGAGTTTGATAAAGCTGTATAAAGATTTACAAGGGGTAGAACTGTTTGTTGGATTTTCTTTTCTTCTAAAATGTAATCTACTTCATATAAGAACTTAAACTTAGAAGAAGAAGATTTTTTTAGTATAGGAGATGAAGGAGAGGACAAACTAAAAAAAGATTTGGAGGAAGAAGGTTGAGAACTAGAGTTGCTAAGAGTTGATAAATTCATGAAAATAAGACTCTCTTTTGGCTTTTTCTTTTTCAATTTTAATAATCAAAACTTTAGAAACATGATTTTTTTTTTACTATCTTGACAAGCAACAAGCTCTGATACCATTTCTATACACAGAGTCTAGTCCGATTTTTGCCAGGTGGCCTCTGTGGGTACCTCAAAACTAGTTTTACAAGGAGCCTATCGACCCTGGGCATATTCCCAGGTGGGTTTTTCCCATCCTTAACGGCACATGTGGCTAGCCTGCCTGGCCATGTCAGGGTAAGAACCAATGCTTCACCATAGATCACACTGTGAGAACCCTGATCATGATTCTGACTGATTATAGTCAACATAGCAGCTACCGAGTTGCCATTAGTTTTTAATTCATTTTGTCGCCATGTTTGGATACTTCATTTTGTCGTTATATATATATATATATAAAAGAAATTAAGATGCTTGGTGAATTTCTTATAATATGAAGACTTTTTTTTTTAGTAGGGGATGGGACGTTCAGTTCAAGGTCTCATAATAATATATATTATTTTATTCAAATAATATATGCATTTAATTTTTATTAAAAAATAAAAAAATAAAAAAATTATATTAGTGTGAGTAAATCTCATATTATATAAATAAAAACCTAATTCAAATTTTGTTTTTTTAAATAAAATATAAATATAAATAAATTTCATGCTTGTCTTAGCTAAGGCTACCCTAAAAAAACCTTGAAATAAAAAAAAAATTTCCTTTGATCACTGAAATTAGGCATGAATCTCATTGAAATGGGAAGTTGGGGTCTTCAAGATAGGCATGCAAAGAACTGTTCTAACCTTGAGGGAGGAGCGAAGTTGTGGAAATTGATGATGAAAGAAGATAAAAACATAGAAACTATCACAACTTTGAATGCTAGTCATGTCGAATTAACTATATTTTTTAATGCCTTATCTTAATCAAGCCTATTTATCCTTATCTTAATCAAGTCTATTTATTCCATTAAACAAATCCACCAATAATCACCATCTTATTTGTAAAATTATATATATATATATATATATATATATTCAAAGAATTATCTGAGAAAGTTAAAGAAAAGATAAGTTAAATTAAACAGCATGTGAAAGGCACCCCATTGCCTCAAATCTGGTATTTTTGTTTCTGCTTTTCATACAAAACTGTTGCATCCTCATCTTTTATCAGTTGAAAGTAGAGATGTAAATAATATATTAATACATGTAAATTATTTGAATTTAACTCAAATAAAATTTGAATTCAATTATCAAATCAACTTTGAATTTAAGTGACTTGACTTTTTGATTGAGTTAAATTCGAATATTTTTATATTCGATTCAAGTAATTCACGAGTTTAATTAAATTTTTATATTTTAATTATTTTAATTAATAAAATATTTCGAATTCGAATTCGAGCTCAAATATAAATAATCAAACTTATTTTTATATATTAATCGAGTTTAAATAACTTGATTTTTATTTTGAATCAATCTTAAATTAAAAAAAATAAAATTCGATTGAATTTTAATTAAATTTTAAATCGAATTCGAATTTAATACTATATCAACTCAAACTAAACCAACTACACTCCTAATTAAAAGCTATGGCATCTTTTCTTCTTCGGAGGGAGACCAACACAATTTAGCCTTTTCACATGTATGGGTTTAATTGAGTAAATAGTTTTATGTTAGACACTAGTAAACGACAAATGAAGTCGTCCTACGTAGTCGATCCATGACAATCGAATGTGAAATCTTGTTGATCATAAAATAAATTAATCAGCTTCTTAATTAAAATGCAAATTAAAATAAATTTAAATTGTTTCAAAAGTCAGTTCTTTCATAGTAATTTCCTTGGTGTTGAATTTTTCATGTATGTACTTGACTTATTGCTGGCCACCCATCTTGGAATCCTTCAAAACTTAAGTGGAATTCATACTTATTGTACCAATTAATCTCTGCACTAATGCTAATAGTAAGATTGTGAAATTCTTTTATTCATGTTAAAAGAAATCCCATCCTTGTTTCTTCATCACCCCTTAAAACACGTTAGTAATATTTTAACTAGAAATCAATCTACAGAAAAATGAGATATTTAATTTAATGAATATCTATATGTGGATAATATAAGATCATCTATGGTAGATTTGTTGTTGTTTGTGCTTGAAGCGGAAATAAAAATTTTTTCTGGTGTAAATTCTGGGATATGATTTGTAGTAAGTTTCAACCTGCCATGGAGTTTTTATGCAGCAAAATTCATGGGCTGGCCCTGGAAAAAACTGATTTGTAATTTAATGGCCCAACATTGAGCCGAAAGGCACAAACCCAATTAACCCATTCAAATTTCCAGACCAGACCAGACCAAGGCTGGCCCATTTACATTGTCTCTTATCAACTCGAGAAAAAAAAATAGATTATGGAACAATTATGTACACTAATGTATTATGTTATATTTATATATAATCTATAATTAATATGATTAAAAAGCAGATAGTTGAGATATGGTAATATTTTGGAAATTTTTTTAAAATTTTTTAAACTAACATTAACCCCATTCGATTCCTCTAACTACTGTAACTTACCTTGGAACTTGGTGCGTTCTAATTAGAAAATGTATTGGACAATTTCAACGTTCCAACCAGTTGAATGAAATGGACAATCATTTGGCATGAAACTCACAGCGGTTGGTGTCAATGATGAAGATTTTAGTGGGGACTTGAAAATGAGAACCATGGAACTTGAATGGAAGAAAATAGTAACTTTTATTTTGTGTGCTATGTCTGTCTTTTATTTCTAAAGTCTCTCATTTCTTTACTTTCTTTCCTTGACTCAATTGGAAAGTTATTCAAATCACATTGTCACCATGCGCCCAGCATTTATGGACTGGACAAAGTGAAGAGGTACAACTCTGATCCCACTAAAAAAAAAGGAACCAAATATTATAATAAGATCATGATTGGTTAGGACCTAAATATATAAAGAATTAATATATCTAGCCATTACACTATTGGTTATGATGAAATAGGAAAATGAGACAAGCACTTACAATATATTCAAACCAAAATTATCATACTCAATTCATTTATTAATTATAACTAGTGATAGAAGCATTTTATTTCTTAAATTTTTTTAAGGCTTGTGTTTGAGAAAATATCTAGTTAATACATTGCAAGGTGAAAATTTTGGTATCTTGTTCTCTCAATTAAGCATTTTATGATTTTCAAGCAGGGAATACTGTCATCATGAATTTGAACTCTTCAAAATTTATAAGTCCATCTCCATCTTTGTCAACTCCTTTGATCATGAGGAAGCATTCACTGAGACTACACTTTTCATAGCCAAGACCTGCCAGTATGTTCTGCAGCTCCTGAGCTGATATGAATCCATTTTTGTCAGAATCAAATATGTTAAATGCATCCATTAACTCATCTTCCTTGTCACTGAATTGGACCGTATTCACTCCAAGAGCATCCATGAATTCCTCAAGGTCGATGTATCCATCACCATTTCGATCCAACTCCCTCACCATCCCATCAGCTTCTTTCTTTGCTGCCGACTTTTTCTGCCCCAAAGACAATAACATTTCACTGAGCTCAAGTGATGATATTTTCCCGTCTCCGTCAGTGTCAATGAGCTTGAACACTTGCTTCATCTGACTAGAAACTTCCATGGAAGAAACTGAAGATGAACTGCAATCAAAACCAGCAAGTAAAACCTTGGGCTTTCTTTGCTTGCCTCCCTTTTCTAGGCTCAAGACTTTGAGCTTTAGGAAAACTTTTCTGGCCTGCTTGCTCAAAAGCCTTACGCAAGATTCAAAAGGGTTAAACATTTGTTAAAACTAATAGAAGAGATATAAGGAATAGAGGATGGCAATGGCTTAATAGGGTACTAGCAGATATGCTATGAGGAGTTGATCGAAGAGGCAATGGTAGTTATAGTAAGAACACCATTGTGGAAATACTTATAATTGTCAGAAGGAAAAGAAAGTTGAAATCGATTGGTACTCAGAATGCGGATTTATTGATGGTGGAAAAAGCATGTTCCAATAAGGTTCTCCATATCTTTGATGATAAATTGATTGTATGCAACAGTTGTCCTGATATCTTGGTTTGATATCCTGATCTTCACATCCCTTAAATATTCCATAACTAAATAATGTGTTTGAAAAGTCAGTGGAGCTTCCTTTTCTTTTGTGGTTTTCGGTAGCCTGTTAGAACATTAGTCAAGGAGGAAGCTGAGGTAATATTGTTGGAGACTTAGATTCATGATATATCTCTTCGAAAGTAATGGTGAATTTGACTAATTTTTTGGAATTATGTGGTTGGAATTGGGCCGTGGCTATGTGGCATGCACATATAGAAATTATAATCTTCAAAGCCTAATTATTATATAGATACCATATAATTGCAAATAGAACTCGTGAATGACATAATAATACTTAATTAGATGAAGTAAACAAAAGAAGTTGGAAGATGAGGTGGCTCTCCGACCAGAAATTACAATGGTCAAATAAAACCAGATCAGAACATACTTTTGTTCTCTTGTATGTGATAATCCTGACACTGTTTCTCAAACAGTGTTTTACTCTCTCATTTTCACTGTCCTAAGAACAGAAATAATTGCTTTTTCATTCTTCACATGTACCTATATCTCGAAGGAAGCTTAGGCGCAATTTATAAGATTGATATCATGTGACTTAATGATTAAGAATTCAAGTCATAAAAATAATATATTATAAAGGAAAGATTGCGCATAATAAATTCTTTTTCACATCCTGTTATAAGTAAAATTTTTATACACCAAATTATTTATATATATATATGTATGTATGTATGTATGTATGTATGTATCTATATATATATATATGTGTGTGTATTGTTTCATTTTTGTCTTAGATTAGAGGAATTCAATTTTTCATCTATTTGCCTTTGCCTTTGAACTACAAAGGTCATTTTGGTTTTCACTCCATTGTTTCACGTGGACCCATGGCTAAAATCGATGTGCATCATCTGTATTTGATTATCTGAGACTTTAATTTTCTCCTCTTATTTATTTCTTTGCCTTGGTTCTCAGTTTGAAATAATGAATTGTCTTTGCAGGATTCCCAACGTAAAGAAAGTTAACATGCTGGCCAAAGATAAGAAAATAATATTAATAAAACAAAACAAAATGAATGTGGTGGTTAACATTTTGCTACGTATTAATTAAATATTTATGGGAAAACAATATAAATAATTTTTTTTTAAAAAAATTAAAGTTATAATTTATCCCTAAGTTCATATTAAATTAAATTATTTTTATTTATTTTTATTTAAATTTTGCACTATAATTTTAATATTGAGAATTTGTCGACATAAATTAATGAAATTAATAAAAATCATTTATATTAATAGAATATTTTGTAATTATTTAAATATTGTTTTTATTTAAAATTCAATAAATTAAAAATAAAATAATAAAATTTATCATTCGCATTAATAAAATATTTCACTTTGGATATTGTTTATGAAGAAAAACCGCCATATTTACACTTTAGAAACTAAGTACCCACAAGAAACTCATGCACTAGCATTAATCCATCAATCGTATCTAAACAACCCTGATTTGATTTCCCATCTTTCTCCTAAGAAAAATATATATTTGGATTTAGGAACAACCCCACCAATCTAATTTGCTCAAGAAATAATGCCTGCAACATCATGGTTGGAAGAGAACCCAACTGAAATAACATCTATGTCACCGTCACTTTCAAATCCCACCCAGAAATGATCTGCCAACCTCATGCAAATAATGCTTTCTGAGCTGAAAACACAGAGAGGAATAGCGGTTCCTTTGGTGGCGGTGAACTTAACATGGTCTGCAAAGATAGCGGTAACAACATCTTTTCTAGGCCGCCTAGGACAGGTTCAGTTAGCCTGTAGCATACTCGGATCCACCTTTGCTAATGTCACTGGCTTCTCTGTCCTGAACGGACTTTGTGGTGCCATGGAACCTGTTTGTGGTCGAGCCTTTGGAGCTAAAAAATTTAGGCTCCTTCACAGTACCATTCTGGTGGCCGTGTTCTTGTTACTGTTAGCCACACTGCCGATTTCTTTCCTGTGGCTTAATGCTGACAATTTTCTAATCCATTTTGGCCAAAAACAAGACATTTCAGCCGTTGCAAAGATGTATATATCTTTTCCACCTTCTCCCTGATTTAGTTGTCACTTCATTGCTATGTCCTCTCAAAGCATAACCATTCCCATAATGTTTAGTTCAGCTCTAGCACTTGCTTTTCACATGAATCACATCCCCATCAACATCTTTCTTGCAAAAGCTAAGGGTCTTGAGGGAGTTTCAATGGCTATCTGGATAAGTGATCTCATAGCTGCAATCCTTCCAGTCTTATATGTACTGCGGATGGACAATAGAAAGGGAGGAAACCGGAAGGAAGGAGGATGGTGGGATCAAGGTGTTCAAGGCTGGCTTAGTCTGCTCAAGCTTAAACCATATTATCTTACCACCTGCCTCGACTGGTGGTGCTATGAGATTTTAGTCTTGCTTATTAAGGGTGTTTGATTTTAATAGAATTAATGGATAAAATCGATTTAATCCAATTAATTAATTGGTTATCAAATTAATTTTTAATTGATTATCAAAAATAATATTTAAAAATTTTTAATTTTTGATTAATTCGTTTGATAATTAACTAAAATTTTAATCGAAATATGAGAAATTTAAAATTAGAACTAAAAATACATTAAAAAGCCTATTTAGAATGAGGCTAACTTGTACGTATCAAGAACTTCATATGATCTAGAAGAGTGTCCTAAACAAGTATTGCAGAGTTCAAAACCTCCCTTTGGATGCTGAAGAACAATGGTCTTGTTCATAAATGATCCATTCAGAATACAGCTCCAGCAACAAGCTAAACAGGGAAGCGAATGCCAGGTTCTGTGGGAATTTCACGAATGCATGGATGGGCATAACCTGCAATATCATTCAAAGAATGAACAGATTGATCACTCGCAGTTACGGGCTTTATGTTGTTAATGGGCTTAACTAAATAATTGTGGACAGTGCTGTTGTATTTGCTGATAGGCCTTATTCCAGACCAGACCCTATTAGCTTAGCTTGTATTTAGCTTTTAAAGTTCCATTATTACCATTAGAAAGGATGAGAGACACAGAGTGAGCTCAAGCATCCGATACTCTTGGACCACTGCTGTGCATTCTGTTTGAGTGATGCAAATGATGAAAGCGGAGGTATTGTAGAACATCCTATTTAGCAATACTAAATGAATCTTCTTCTCTAATTCTATCTTCTTCCTCTGATTTCATCCTCTGTTACTGTCAGTTTATGCTAAACCATTCTTGGTTCATATCACTCGCCAAAAAAAAAGAATTTACATCTCACAATGAGTACCAGGGGCAAGTATTACCCATCTACAGATTCAGGTCCAGAACTCAAAGAAGTGAGCTCCTTGGCCTTGTCATCGTTGAAACCAAGAGCCACCATTATCTTGTGACGAGGATATTCCACTTCAGACCAAATGCCAAGCAGCGGATGCGTTGTTGTAATTTCCCTATCATCACCTGCAGTTTGCAGATTGAATTTCAGCATGCCCTCAAAAGTTTTATATACCATGCACCAAAGTCATCACAGACTCCATGAAGAAGAATTTTATCAAACAGACAATGCAATCAAACAAGAACAATAATGTGTTGGGAAATAAACACACACGTGCAGTACTCATACACAAAATAACAAACTGAAATCAAAAATAAAAACATAAATATATTTATTTCGGTCTAACTCAAAATGATATATTCTAAACTCAATTTACTAACAAATAAATCTTTATAACCGTAAGACTTTTGAAATGAAAAAAATCTTCAAAAAATTATTGCTCAAAACTTAATTCAAAACTCAATTACGTCCTTTTAATAGTTTACTCACCTAACTATTCTCTCAGTATCTATTATCTAAGATTACCAAACTCAAACTAGCTATTCTCTCAATGTCTACTATCTAAGATTATTAAACCAAAACTAAAACATCTTATTTATAAGGGTGAAATTTCTTATAATTTTATTAAACTCTTGATGTTGGATACAAAACAAACTCAAAATTCTTATAATTTTCGATGTGAATTTTAAGATTTAAGGTAAATTTTAACATAATGCAAAATCTATATAATATAGGGGATTATTAAAACTCTACGAGGCATCCAGCATACCAATTTTTCTTTACTCAATCCCATGCACTCTATGCAGTTATAATACGGAATGAAAAAAAAAATCATATATTCCTTTTTTCACGATGTATAACTGTTCAACTGAATCGTTCATATAAATCCGACCTTGTTTACAGGACATGCGACATACCTTTGAGCAGCTTAAAGAAATCACAAAATCAGCTATAAACAACTTAAAAAGAAATGCCTACACTTTGTACACATGCAACCATGAATATAGCAGTCAAAATTCAAAATTAATAATTGCATATCCTTTACATTCACAATGATTTCACAAATATGCCCTAGTTATCTGTAATACTTCAATTAGAGATACAAAAATATTGGTGAAGTACAGAGATTTTCCAGCATAACCAATAATAAAATAGACAACAATGTGAATTCCAACACCTGCTTTTTCTGTCTTTTTAATTTCTATTCAATTTCCATAAAAACATAAAACCAGAAACATTATGTTTTTGCCAGCAAAGGTCCCATTCGGCTAAAAGTAACTCTTATCACTAAGTACCTAGAAGTAAGAAAAATACAGGCACGATTAACAATAAGACTAAACCCAGACAATTACACTACAGTACCTGTATTGGCCCAGCCTTGTATATTTAATGCCAAAGTTGAACAAATGTGTTCCCTTTTCTAGAAAGATTATACTTTTACTTTTAACATGTTATTCACCATTAAGAAAAGGAAATTAATGAAATTTTGAAACTAAGAAAGTGAACAACAAGAAAACTATTGATATTATCCCCACAAAAAGGAGAAATAGTGCTGTTGCAGTGCATCAC